TCCTAAGGCCTCTGGTTCCTCTAGGGCGCTGCGTGTACTCAGGGCGGCTGGCCTTCGCGTCGTCTTTGCCGCTCTTGGTTTCCGAGGTTCTGATGCAGCTTGGGTAGGATTTGCGCCCCAACAGAGTTTTGGGGAGCGCTCAGAACCGTCTTCAAAGGAGTCCGGGAAGCTGCCCTCTGCTAGGCGGATCTGCGATCCAAATCTTCGTTTGAGCACAACTCGACGTCAAAGCAGAGGGGTTGAGGGCGACGCGGCGAGGCCCGTCCATCGCTTCTCTTGGAAACGAGAGCTTTGAACAGCCCTGCCTCCGAAATCGATCATCCTCAAATCATAACCGGTCCCCAAGATGAACAGTTTACACACGCACACCCTCTTCCAAGTGTGGCTGTGTGCTATTGTACCGTTAAACAGCCTATCTAGAGAGTGGACTCTTTCCAATGCTAGCTCTACTTAGAGCTGACTTACTGAAATAAACTGGATTTAAATTAGCCTAAGAGTGAATTAACTCCGGCGCGCGCAAGTGGCCCTCCAAAAGTTTTCTTTCAACTTTCACAGCGGAAACAAATACTAATGAATTACTATTTCGTTAATACAACCGATGAAGACCCGAAGCTCTGGGACTGCTCAGATTGTTGCTCTCAGACTATCGCAAGAGAGTCCCGCCTATGTATATATCTTCTCCCTCCCTAAGTGCAAAGTTGGAAAAAGGGCACAGATGAGACTTTGGATCATCCCCGAATCGTTTCAATGCTCTTCTGCTACAGTGTCGCCTCCGCCCCGCAAATCGAGAGGAAACAGAGCCAGTAACTGGCAGACGAGAGTTTTGAGCCGCTTCAAAACTCCTCCAGTCGAAGGCGGGCTTAATCTTGTAGGAAGCCCTGCGGATGTCTGCAGGTGACCACCCGCCTGGCTCCCCCCACCCCCGTCGAAACAGCACGTGGCTGGTCCAAGCAGGAGTGAAGCTGCGGCATCATGTTTTCTAGTCCGGTTTGCTGCCCATGGACAAGTTTGTACAGAGAACGCCCTGGTTCTAGGACCAGCCTCGAATATTCCCAATTCTCTTCTACCACCGGATTAGCTTCCTTCCTCCCAGCCAAAAACAAAACAAAATGTAAAAAAAAAAAAAAGCTTAAGGGAATGAGATGCTTCGTTTTCTGCCCGCCCCCGGGGGTTGCTTCACTAAAAGTAATCCAAGCGACAGTCGTGCAGGTGAGCGTTCCTGTTTCCATAAAACCAAAGGGCTACCAGCCGTCCTTCACCCGGTTCCCTCGCAGGCCTCGACTCCCCCCGCCCCCCTTCCTGGCGTGTGGGCGGAGAGGAGGCGAAGGAGAATTATTTTAGAAAAGAAAACAAACCCACGTTTGAGCCAGACACAACTTTGCTTATCTCCCAGCAATCCTTACCTCGCCGATACTGTGCTCCGACGGCCATGTTTGCTTTGGCTTTGACTTTAGATAAAGATTATCATTATTAATATCAAAGCCAAACACTTTAATTGCAAACACACCCGGGGCGCCCTCGCTGCAGCCGGCGACGTCTCAGCCGCGCGGCTGGGAGCCTTCCATGAGAAGCCTTCTGGAAGGTCCCACGTCGTCCCGCAAACTTTTTCTCCCGTTGCTCTGCGGAGGCGAACCCGGTGCCGTTCGGTGAGGCTCCAACACCGAGAGAGACAGTGCCGGAGTTTCTGGCGGCGGTTTTCTTCAGGCTGTGATCCTAGCCAGAGTTACTTGGGAGTAAGTGCCATTCTGCACAGCGGTTCCTACTTCCGAATAAATATGCGTAAGATCACACCGTGCGGAGTTTTGAGGACTGGAACAGCTGGAGCTTCAAGGCAGCCCGGAAAGTAACTCCCGCGGCGACGGATTGGTCTTCTTAACGCACAGACGCGCTGAATGGCGCGGGGCTTACTTCGGAGTTGCCCTGCCTGCGATTGCACGGTTAGCTGCAATTCTCTGCCCATTTTCCTGGGAGTAAGCCCCGTTGAAATGGATGAGCTTTCTAAGGAGACATGAATGGGATTCCACTATTAACATCATTCAGTTTCCATGCCTTAGCACTTTTTTTAAAACAAAAGCAAGCCCCCTCCAAAAACACTAAAACTTCCTAAAATATAAGATTCATTTGTATGAAAGAGAACCATTTGTTTATTATCTATATTTCTGAAGGGTCGTTTTTGAAACACACTTGAAAAATTAAGTATACAGTTTAGTATATGAATTTACAAAAATGTGCATTTAACAAACAAGTGCTTTAAACAGGGGTTCCTTTATATTTAGATTGGAACTTAGTAAACCATGTTGACTTCCATGATAATTTTGGGCTAAACTTGTATATGAGATTCAGCACAAGCTAAAGCCAACAGACTTTTGAAACTTCTTAAAGACAAATAAATTTATTCTAGCACAAGCTTCCATGTACCATAACCTACTTCACTGGATGCAAGACTCATCAGTGTGAACTGAAACTTTTGACTATATTAGCAAAACAATTTAAATACAATTCTGAATGAAATGCATATATTACAAGAGGCTCTTTGGCACCAGCTTCTCAGTCAAAGTGTTATTCGTGGCTTTTGCATTTGTAGGAAAGGAAACCCTCAGATACTAGTGCATATCATTCTGTCTGTAGTATTCACATAACCTTGCAAATAGTATGTAAGGAATGCAATCCTAGCTGGGACCTCTTTCCAAGGCAATGTGGCTAGCAAGAGTGCAAATACAGTAGACAATATTAAATAACAATAAAACTTTTGCAGCAATTTTAGGGCACACTAAATTATATAAAGCATAACTTTGGCAATCCTAGTTCTGTTATTCAGAAGCAAGCCCTTTTAATACATTCAGTGAGACTTATTCCCAAGTAAATATGCATGCAATTGCAGTTTAGAATGCTATATAGTATACCAATCCTTTTAAAATTATGATTGTCTTACTTTATCAACAGTTCAACCCTGGGTAATTCTTGTTTTTTTCAGAGAAGGAATTTTAATTTTAAAATTGTTCTGGAAAGTATATAGAAGGAGCCTGTGCCTACCATATTTACTCAATAGGAAGTAAACTGGTTCTCATGGGCCTTACTCCCCAGTAAGTGAATGTGAGATTGCAGCCCTACCAGGTTACAAGAAATTATACAGAAGTGCTCCAGACACCAATCTTATTCATGACAATGGGGTTTCCTCAAGAGAACTTCCAGGTTGATTGTGACCACAGAGAGCTTTTGCTAGCCACCTATGATCTTTGGGGACATTAACTTTGAAATCAGTGCACAAAATACTGTAAGAAACAGACACAAACCAAAGTTATGCACTGGAAATTCTATCTATTGCTATGCACTGTGGAGCAGGGGAGAGAAGGAGAAAGACATTAGAAGTACTATGGTTTCCTGATGGCCACTCCTCCTTATGAATATAAACAGGTCTGGTATAACATCCAAAGTTGTCCTTATGATGAGGAAGAAAAGCAGGGTGTTTCCAACCTCAGAATAGGATTGTTTTTCTACATCCCTCAGAAGGGGTTCATTGCTCCACTTAACCCCTTCATGCCACAGGTCTCATCTCAAGGACTTTGAGAGACTTATGTTGGAACCCCTCTAGAAATCACATTCATAAATTATGCCTCAAACAAATTTTGGATTTCTTTTGAAAAATCCTTGATGTTCTCCAATACTCATGTCTCTAAAAAGATGAAGGTGAAAACTTGTGATCTTGACAATATAATGGAAATACAGAAAGATGAGACTGAATGCATAAGGATGCCTTACAATACATAAACACACTGAGAAAGTATTTCTTGGGAATTGTGCAAGAGAACATAGCAGGACATTTCCAAATGATTCAAATGCTGTTTTGCACAGGTAGATGCTCTTTGGTGCATGAGGACTAGTAACATCATGAATTTTAAATCTACGATGGCTGCATGAAGCAGTACAGTAGGATGCCAGGTTATTGGGTAGCAGGAACAGAAGCCATGTAAGGCTGAGGGAGGCTTTGTGCATGACAGAAAAGCAGTAGAGATACAAATGGGTGAAAAAAGTGGGTCCAACAAACCATGTACTCCTTTGTTTATCTCATGACTTTAGGAGAGGTACTCCAAGGATTTTATCTCCATGGTTTCAGTCAAGAAGCAGCCTTTAAATTTCTACTATCAGCTATTACCACATGATACTAAGGAAATCCCATTCATTCAGAGGAATGTCTATCCAGTTATAGTGTAACAGCATAATCCTATACCTGTCTCATCAGAAATAAGTGCCACTGAATTCAATAGGACATACTCCATAGTAAGTGTGTATAAGATGGCAGCCTAAGTCTAATAGCATTGAAGGAGCAGCTAATATTCTTTCAACCACAACAGATCTTAATTTTATGGAGAGGGAAAGAAATAGGAATTCATATTCTGTCTCCTCTTCTCCAGCATCTTGCAATGAACTCAATATTTTGAGATAGTCAAAAATCATCAATAAACAACTTTATACACAAAGAGATTTATTTTACAACCTTGGAAACTTATCTAGTTTATCTTATATACATGATCACATTCCACTTTAAATAGATATTTGTTTCTTTAAAAAAAACCAACCATACTAAAATTATGTACAAAAACCCCCACACAAAAACACAAAACCTAAATCTCAGGAACTGTTAAAAATGATAAAACAGAATCATGAACTTCCTTCAGACAGGAATGAACTTTGTATTATACAAAGAAGATGCTCATTAAACCACAATGCAATATATTAATTATAAAAGCAGACAAAGAACAATTTCAGATTAAAATTAAAACACCATTCAGATTGGTGTGTAGGAAGGATGAAGGTGGGATCATGAGCCAAACTTCCTTTTAAGAAGATGCATTTTTATTTATTCAGCTGTGTGCCTTTTCACAACCCTTCCCCGACCCCACCTCCATCTAGGATTGCCAGAAGATTAAATTAATTTGTGATTTAGTTTAAAGGGCGAAGAGGATAGACAGTTCCTTGCACTGTTTCCAAAAATACTACCCCTACTTTTCCACCATTTCCTCCCCGTTCGGGACTTTGCGGTCTTCTGAAGTGATACTGTCCACGATAGAAGAGAGACAACGGAGGCTGCTGGATGCAGAAGAGTCAACCAAAGAACCTCCTAGTTTGAAAGAAAAAGAGAAAGTCATTTTAGCCAGAAAAAGGATTGAGGAACAAATGAGAATAACAGGGGCAATAGGCAAAATTATTAAGGATTATGGGTGCACTCTTATACCCACAAGCTCCACTGAACTCAGTGGGACTTACTTCTCCATTCACACTGTGGGGGACTGCACAGTAACACCCCGGTGATGGAGCTGCTGTGGGCTCAGATCCACTCTCCCTGAATCCACAGAGGCTTTTACAAACAAAAACAGAGTAAATCTGGCAGACCTTCCTTGCCTCCCATTGCCAGAGGTTGTTGGGACGCTTAAGGAGGCTTACTTTCTAATAAAAGGGGTTCAGGCAGGGTCCATCTTGGCTGTGACCCCAAATCTCAAGCACATGTTCATAAGTAAGCCAAGCCGCTCCCCCTACATTCGGTAGGGCTTCACAGTTTCTAGGAAGTATTTTTAGGATGGTGGCCAAAGACGAGCAAAGTGCCACTGGAAGCAATGGACCCTGCTCGGAAATTTTTTGGGGGGGAGTCACTCGGGCTGCCATCCTATCAGCAACTCACGTGACAATCCATTCTATTTACTCTGGAGTAACCCCGTGGACTACTCCGGAGAGTTGCCTCCTACAGATGTGGCCTGCTTCCTTAAGATCCAAATGGGCGCGAGTTCCGTGAAAAGGAAACGGAGGTTGACTTCCGAGGAACCGTGCTTAGGATGAGGACTGCCAGCTTCAGTGCACTCGCTAAGGAGCAGGTCCCTGCCGGCTCCGTACTTGAGACGGGGATGCTCGTCCCGCCTGGCTTGCGGTGGCATAGAATTCCTTGGGCAAAATGGGCCCGACCCGTATTCTACCCCGCGTATTCAAACGACCCATCTCTCGTCCGGGGAGGGGGGCGAGCGAAGCGCCTCGTAGCTCCGGAGCTGGACGGCCTGTCGAACGAGCGCTTGGGAATCAAGGCGCCGGAGATCCACGTGGCTCGAGCACAGAAACGCAGGGCCTGAGGTGCGACGGCGGCCACGCGAGGCGCATTCTGCGGAGCCAGGGCGCCGGGGCTCGGAGAGGCGCCTCGCGGCAAGCCTCCCGCTCCCCGGCCGGCCCACGCACGCAAGGACCCACCCACCGTGCGCCGCGCTCGGAGGAGTGCCTCGCTTTACCTTCCTTGGCGCCGATCGCGAGCGCCCGGGAATGCTCGGACCCGCTCGGCCAGTCGGCGCTGCAGGTGCTCAGGAAGTCCGGAGCGGGCATCTGGAGGCGAGAGAGAAGGCGGGCTGAGGCCCGAGCGCCTACGGCGGGGACCGTGCCAGCCTGGGAAGCGGAGGGCCCTCGCCGGCGGCAGCTCCGCAGCCCCCTCCCTCCGCCCCCGTCTCTGCAGGCTCGACCTGGCCGAGCTAAGGGACGCGACCGCTGCCTCCCAGCGCGGCGGTGGCACAGGCGGCGCTTACATTGGCTTGCTTGGAGCCGCCGAAGCCGAAGGAGTCGCTGGCGCCGCTGGCGCCGGCGGCGGGCAGGAGCAGCTCCTGGCTCTTGTCCTGCTGGTCGAGACGGTGCAGGAGGTCCTGGAGCCGCTCGATGTAGCTGATGGCGCTGCGCAGGATCTCTACCTTGGGCAGCCGCTGGTTGGGGTTGGCCACCGTCCTCCTCTTGAGGGCCTCGAAGGCCTCGTTGATCTTCTTGAGGCGCCGCCTCTCGCGCAGCGTGGCCGCCTTGCGCCGGTCGGTGGGCGCCGATTTCCTTTTGCACGTCTTGCAGGCCCAGATGAGGCACTGGCCCGGGCAGTGGGGCGCCTGCAGGAGGCCCGGCGGGGCCAGCACGTGCTGCTCCTCGGAGCCGCCGCCGCCGCTGCCGCCGCTGCTGCTGCTGTCGCTGCCGCCCCCTGCGGCCTCCGCGCCCAGCGGGTCCTGGCACGAGGCGGGCGAGAGGGTGCTGCCGTCGCTGCCCTGGTACAGCGGCGAGCCCTCGGCCATGTCGAGCGGCTGCAGGGCTCCATTGTCGCTGTCCAAGTAGAAGAAATAGGAGCCGGATTCGAAAAGGTCCATCATCATGCTCTCGCCCTTCGCCTCTGTGCAGCCTCTGGGAGGTGGGTGAGGGGCTTCCGAAAGAGCCCCCAGAGAGGGAGAGGGAGAGAAAGAAGCGGCCCGACGGAATTTAATTAGCGCGGTGACATAAGGCCCCCCGGCAGCTTTATATATAGTAGCGGCTGAAACTCTATCCAACTTTTAGCTGTCGCGGCGCATCACCCTCCAGAAGCCCAGGCTGAAAACAACCACGCTCTCCTCCTGGGTGCTGCTGGCCGAAGAGACCGCTGCCACCGCGTCATGAAGGGGAAGAAAGAGGGCATTTCCCTCCTCACCACACAAGCCCAAGGAACTCCATGAAGGAAAGGACTGGAGGGGCTCACAGTTTTGCACACGTGAACGACTTGCCTGTGCGTGTGTGCAAAATGAAGGAGTTGCTTGCAGCCCACAGCACCAAGGCTCAGAGTGAAAATCCTTTCCTGCTCTGGGCTAAGTATAGAACTCTGAGGGGTGAATGGAATAGGCTGTAATGATTATACTTGCAAATAGGCTGGCTAATGGCTTTGTGCGCTGGTGCTTTTTTAAAGCATGCACAGCACACACGGGTTTGTGGCCAAAACCCACCGGGCCCAACCCATGAATCTAAGGGGAAGAGAGCCCTCCTACTGTGCCAGGGCATCCTTCCCCAACTTGCTGCTACGTATTGCAGCATCTCCAAGCCAGCACAGGAGGCAGCAGGTTGGAGAAGGCTTCCCTAGGGAGTGATGTCCTAGAGAACAGTCCTGGCCTCTAGTGTGGGTGAGGACAAGCTGTCTGGGCCTGTTGTAGCCAGACTGAATTCCTGCCATCTCTCAGAGTGCCCTACCTAGAGGAGCCTTCAGGCTATTTCACAGACACACTTGGCAGGGGATGAGTGGGACTGTGACTGCATCTGCCGTATATCAGATTCTTGGCTTTCAGTTCAGTCCAGAATTACTGATCTGCAATGGTCTCCACTTGTAAATGAAGTGTTGGTTAACACCTATGGATTTACAGTGCTTAATTTTCCATGGATCCAGACTACAGGCATTCACGGGGATGGCACCAGTCCTCTTATGAGCAGAACAAAAGATGTAGACGCCCTTTCACTGTGCAGTCATAATACAGGTGTTCAACACAAATATGCAAAGGTACAAAATTCTGATCAGCCCAACTTTTCTGCTGTGAAAGGGAGGTGATGGTATGATTCAGGTATCTGCTCTATCACTCATCCTCTGTGCTGTGCCAGTGACTTACATGATCCTCCCTGTGTACAGAGGCTATCCCTGCTCCTCCATCATGCGAAGACCACTGCCCTTGTAGGTAAATAAATGAACTAGACCTCAATGCCTTGCAGCTGAAACCAAGAAGTTAAGTGCATTGAGAAGAACTGTGAACCAAATATTAACACTGCCTTATATTAAGTTGGACCCTTAGCCCAACTAGCAGCAGTTCTCCAAAGCTTGGGCTTCTCTTCCATAAGCCTACCTGGACATGTTTGAGGCTGATCTCAGGACTTTCTGCATGGGTGTCCTAAATTCTGTCCTTTTTGATCTGTGATGCATTAAAGACACACTCCTCTACCAATCCAGGCAAAGAAAGGACCTACAGACTCTAGCATTCCCTTGGTTGTAAGCCTACTTAGAGGGTAAATTTGCATAGGATTGTTCCTTGAGCCACCAAAGTGCTGGGGATGAACATACCCTTAGTGCGTGAGCAGCCAAAGGGAGTCCTGATTGACCACACAATCACTATCCCTAAGATGTTGTGAAAGCTCTGTTTGAATCAGCGACAGTTTGATCATTCAACAAGTTTAGGGATTACACTTCATAGGATGGTGTATCTGATGTTGTTGCCACCTTATTCCTTGAGAAGATGACTCTCTATACATGTGAGCAGTGCCATGACAAAGCTAAGGGCAAAAGGCTAGTCTCTCTTCCTTGTTTTCCCATTCCTGTATTGGAACTCATCCACTGCCTTTTTGTTTTTAAAAATATGATACTAATTAAACTATTTTGATTTCTCCACTGATATCAGAGGCAATAGGATTCTGTTTTTAATGAGTAGATAACAGAAGGATTAGACACCAGACCTCTTAATTCAGGCATGAGAATGGTTCATCCAAAATGTGTGTGTGGGAGTTTAATATGCTCACGAAGCATTTTTGTTTAGGAGCACAATAGTTATCTTGTACATTTCACTGTACATTTTCACTGTACACAATCTTTTTACATCCTTTTGTAAAATTACTCATTTTTTAAAAATACTTTTGTAAAAGAACTACCATGTGATCATAATCAGAAATATAACCAGATTTCAGAAAATTGCAAGGTTGCAATCTTCCTGATCGTGGAAAAAGGTTTAATAGAATGCACATAAAGTCCTTATTTCACATGTTCACAAAGTTCCTGATCCTGAGACAGCAATCTTGAGACATGACTTTTTTTTACATCTTGAAGCAAATCTTTATTTTTTAAAGTGCCAGACTTTTGCTGTGATGACTTATTTCCCACTACCTTTTCATGTCTTTGTCATTTGTACAAAACTGAAGAAAAACACACCTCAGTGAAAAAAGGAAACGCATGGAATCGGCAAAAAATCCATAGAATCCATAGTGTTGTATTGCATGGTCCCTTTTCAGTGTTTCCTGTGAGGTTGTTTCATATATGTGGATTCCCACAAGAAAATGAAGCTCTTTTATGACTTCACACTTCAGAAATAAACATGCTAATTGACCCTGGGACTGGAAAACATGTTTACAAATCCTTGGCACAATGCGGAGAAGGTTCTGCATAGAGTACAATTTTAAACCAAAATTGCAAGCAAAGAGTGCCGCCCTTTATTGGGAATCCAAAATACAAATCTCCTTTGAGCTAGATAAGTGGCAATGGGTCTGTGGAATTTGAAATGCGAGAGACATACATAGATACTACACAGAGGATGCTTTGCACTAGCAAAGCTAAAGTGCCTCTTAACGGTTGGGACAAGTTGGTGCTGCTGTGTTGACAATCCCACCTTCTATGTGCTGCTGACTCTCTTTCAAAAAAGTCCTTGGTATGGTTTTCAGACTAATGGAGATTTCTTTTGCTGCTGCTCCCTGAGCTAGAAGCGAGTCTAGTTCGCAGGAAGGGGAATGGTGCAAAACTAGAGGCTGCCTTCTTCGGGCATCCTGCAAATGCTTTGAACTACAGCACCTAGCAGTCCAGCTACCATAGCCAGTGTTATGGGAGTTGTAGTCCAAAACAGCTAGAGAACACCCATTTGCCTTCCTTTCTGATCCTAACTCTCATTCCTTGGCAACCTGCTTTACATCACACAAGCTCTAGGACCACTGCACAATGGCACACAGGAGCCACATTTTGGATTCCCCTCATTGTCAAACCATTTACCTTATCTATATTAATCCAGCCAATTTGTGCATGCATGTTCATCACTCTCTTTCTTAAAATGTCATTAGTATTTGAACATCTGTTCCTGTATGTGTGAATGGGCTTCATTTTATATTGTATATTTGTATTTTATTTTAATGTATATATTTTAAAATGTTATTTATGATGATGTAACTTATTGTTGTAAGCCGCCCTGAGGCTTCGGCGAATGGGCGGCATAAAAATGTTTTAATAAATAAATAAAATAAATAATAAAGCATTGGAATAAACATGCGATATCCCCCCTCACATACACGCACAGAAACATGCCTGCTGCATATGAGAGGCGCTTCTCTGACACATTGAGTGCCTATGTGTGCATGTGTGGACCATAATGCACAGAGTTAAAGATGCTCTTGTGTTGAAGGTGAACACTTCTGAGTATGACAATTGATCTGTAGTGGTATTTTTGCACATGTTTTTTGATGGCGCAACATTTAAAAACAGTTCTGGATAAGATTTCTGGGAACTCAGATAAGTGGGCAGCTCTCTGCCTGTGGGCTTGTGGGATCTAATTGATACTAAACTCTTGTAAATAAATATTAATCAGCATATTATCTCTGCCCCTTGAGGTCTGTTTTTCTACTCTTTTATTTTATGCTTTTGTTGGGTATTTACTGTTGCATTTTCTGGTGGGAGCTGATGGAATGTGGGGAATGAGATTTAGCAAACTACAACTGCTAGTTGATTGAGGGGAATTCTTTCTCTCCTGCAACCAATGGCAATATCATAAATCTCTGGCTGAGTGTACAGGTGGGGTGCTGTGCTTATGGTGCCTACATGTGCTTTAATGGAGATGAGGTGGCTAATGTCTCTAAAGGTTGGATGGCCCCAAGCCTTATTCAGTAACATTTGGCAGGCAGGGAAAAGGCTGGCAATCAGGCAGTGCAGAGGCAGAATCTCATGGCCTCTTTTAGCCACAAATTGTGCAGACTGAGGAAATGAGGCAGGTCTCCAGGCTGGGAAATATTGAGCTCTGGAGCTCATAAGCCAAACCAAACCCAAAGGGGTGAACCTCAAAAGGCACTCAAAGAAAAGCTGCTTTGCAGATATATTACAGGTTCATTTCATGTTGATCTATCCCTTGTTTGAAGCAGCTAAAAATTTAGAAAGTATAATTCAAGTCATGTATTATGAGAAAGTGAAGACATTCTGATTATATGCAATCACAATATGCCATTTGAAAACGTTCTTAGTGGAGAGAGGAAAAGTGCCTGTATTGCACCATCACCTTGTAGCTTCCAGGAGGTTTATGGCCCCTCTATCATACTAATTTGGTTGCAAGCAACCTTTCCCCAGAATCACTAGTGCAGGCCACAGTAGGACTGTTGGGACGACTGTGCAGGGGAGCAGCTGCCAGTGGCAGCGGACAAGAATCTCTACTGCATATGCCGTAATGCTGGGAGCAGCCCCAAGAATGCCTGTGCAGGGCCTGGTATGCTGGGTGGTGTGCAGAGCTGCCCTTGCCTCCCGGGAGCTTGCAAGCCATCCGTTAAAACCTTAAAAACAGTAATATTCCACTCCTTTAAGAGAAAGGAAGACCAACTGTATCCTATAGATAGTGTGTGATGCACATTTGAA